CAAGCTGCACGCGCTGCAACACTTAATACCCTTAATAACTTGTAAGGAATTTATATAAATTAGTAATGTGGAATATTTATTGTGCCTACGATATCTAAGAATATGTGATATGCTAAAAGTTATCGACGTATAGAACTGAGCAGTTGAATACATAGATAGATAGATAGATAGTTAGATAGATAGATAGATTAGAATAAGATAGATTGATTCAAGCATTTGTAGATTGTTTTAAAAATGTATTGAATTGTGTGTGTTTTTTTTTTTTTAATTGTTTACACAGTAATGAAAATAAAGTATAGCATAATTTTTTTTTTTTTTTTAATTATTTATTTATTTATTTGGGATACTTTATTTGTGTTGTGCAAAACTTTTTTTTTAATTTACACAATTAATACAGTAAAAAAAATAAAGGAAATTAGAAATTTCATTTTTTTTTTTTACAAAATTAATTAATTTTCCTGAATACTTTCTTTATATATTATTGAAAGAGCCCACAAGAATCAACTGTTTCAAGTTTCAAGAAGCTAACTTAAAAACTGACCGAGTTTACATGAACAGTTTTATATGGATGGATAAATATTTTAGAATCTGAGACACTCATTCAAATACCTAACATTTCAAAACACCTCTCTCCTTATGTTACACTCTTTCCATCCAATGCCAACTACTCCCCATTGGTGAGGGCATACAGTCTGGTTTGCGGTTGGCCCACGATCCGTCAACTGAAAGCTATAATTCTCGAGTCGTGGCAATAATTAGATGCGCCTATTTGATAACTCAATGAATATTCACAGTTCTAGAAAGTTAACACTCTTGGGAATGGACCATTGGGGGTCGTCATGTGAAAGCCAAACAGATTTATGCCATACTACAAAGTAACTGCCAAGGGTCTTATAGAAGCCATGAACGCATTCCCAAATGCAAATTCGCGAACATTAAAAAAAAAAAAATAAAGGAAGAAGATGAAAAACAACAAAAGCAAGAAAAATAAAACAAACAGCGAATTTCATGTGAAATCGTCGTCGTTGTCGTAATTACGGGCAATTTTCCATGAATTTATTAACAGCAGCCAAAATGCGCCCCGTCTTCGGCAAACAGCTGATGCCCCTACCGTACGGCTCCAACATATCTTCTGCGCCCCTCCCATCGCCCCCTTTAAACAAACAGACCATAAATAGTATAAATTTCCACATGACACGCGATGATAATGCGCTTTTCAAGCAAGTTCACTCAAGTGTCTGCATCTGAAACATCATTTGCGTACAGCTGGCAACTCTTAATTGCTCAAAGCGCAAGCGACAAAGCTCCCCCCTGCGCCCCTCTCACTCACTACGCCCCTATCCAGTTCCAAAGTCAGTCAAAGTAACATTTTCAGTGGCATTCTCAGCTGTTGCGCTGTCGAGAGTCCAAATCGCAGTGCTTTCATTTGGCGAGACAAAGACATTGCTCGGCATTTCATTGATAGTGAGTGTGTGTGTGTGTGGGTCATCACCCCGTCCCTAAAGCGTCCACTCTAACTACGCCTCTGTGCATGTCATGCGCGCAGCTCATCTGCATGCTCATATCTTCGTCATCTTCGGCCTCAGTTGCTTCAATTGTGTCCCCTTCTGCCGGGTGTCTGTTTCTTATTAGCTACAAGAGAGCGAGGGCTTCGCTCTCTCTCAGCTAATATGGGGGGATAAGGGTTGGGGTACGAGCACTGGGCAATCAGTAGGCAAAAATTCCATGAATTAATTTCAGTTTTGCATGTTGTTATTTATTAAAATTTTATTTTGCGTTTTACTCAAAGCCGCGCGCGATTCTCTTTTATAGCTGCCGCTTTTCATGCCCTACACTATGGGCATGTGTGTCCATATGCATGTGTGTGTGTGTGTGTGTGAGTGTGTATTGTGAGCTAGTTATTTTCCATAATTTTTTTGTGATTCTTATCATTGCGCGCTGTCAGTGTGAGCTGTGGGTTGCTTCTGAATGAATGAATAGCTTAACCGACTAAAAGAAAAAGAAAACTCACATATATACAAAAAAATGTATTTCATATATTAACTTTATACTTTGGTCTATTCTCACGAAACGCAATACATGTAGGTTTTTAATTTATTTATTTTTGTTAAAAATTATAGTATTGAAATTACAATAACAAAAATAAATATCAGAAAAAAATATTATTCAAGTTTAGAATAATAAATAAAATAATAAAATTTGTATTGAGTTTTTATACATATATTTTATTTCCATTTTGCCCTATGTTTCCCAATAAGAAATCATTTTCAA